CGATATCGTTGCAATAAAACTCAAATATTGTATGTTGAAAAGGTTAAAAAAATCGATAGGATGTATTTACTTGATTATGTGACCATAGGCATATTTATACAGGTAGTCCTCAACTTACCATAACGGAGCCCAAAATTTCTGTTGTTAAGTGAGACACTGTTTTGCCCCATTTTATGACTTTTCTTGCCACAGTTAAGTGAATCACTGCAGCTGACAAGTTAGTAATCTGGTTGTTAAATGAACCTGACTTCCTCATTGACTTTGCCTGTAAGGTGGTCACAAAAGGTGATCACATGACCTTGGGACACAGCAATGGTCATAAGTATGAACCAATTGCCAAGCATCTGAATTTTGATCACATGATCATGGGGACGCTGCAAAGGTCGTAACTCAGGGGAAAGTCGTAAGTCCCAGTCTTCAGTGCCTTTATAACTTTGAAAAGTCACTAAACAAACTACTGGAAGTTGAGGACTACCTGTATTATCTACACTTTTGGCGCCCTGGAAATTGCACATTATTGATTTCTCTTGCAGTTTTCAAAAAATGGATAGTTAACAAATGTTATGAGAAAAGGATCCGATTTGCATTGCAACTTCAACAGAAAATGAGCAGCATACTGTCCACTTTTAACTTGTGAGTTGTCAAGTACAGCCACTGTAATTTCAATGCCTTCTTGCAAACTAAAGAGACTATTGTGTCTGCATGCTTATATGTGAAAGGACAAAGAATGCACGTATATGAACACTCAAATGGGGTTGCTGGTTTTGTCCATGCCTCAGTCTCAGGCTTGAATAAGGGAAATCAACAGGTTTTTTTACATGCCTTCCTGCAGCACAGAAAGGAGGTGGTTTTATCTCTAGAGGGCGCTCCTTCCACAGCTCCATGATTATTTCTGCTAACAATTTTGATCTTTAAGTCTACTACAGTGGTTCATTCCCCTTTCATGTTCTTTTTCTGTTCCTTTCATGGAATAGACAGTTAAGTTTACTGAAGTGAAGAAAAGTGTTGCTTGTCCCCACTGTCACCTATGTCACTCTGCGGGAATCTGACAGATGAGCTTGTTCCAAGTACCAATCTTAGTGGCTGTTTATGGGAATTACAACTGTGGTTGAGGTAACCAGAGACAGTGCCCAGCATGGAACTCAGTTTCACAAATTCCCCTTCTCTTGCAAAAGCTAGAAATTGCCCATCTGTTTAATCCTGTGACTCTTGTATTCAGAACTGTGGAGAGCAGTGTTTTTCAAATTTGGCAATTTAAGATATGTGTAGAGGAAAAAATTAGCTGCCGTTGTCCTGGATCAGAAGGAGAGAGTAGAAAAGTGTACTTTTCCCCCTTTTGCTTTACATGAAAAGATTTGGCTACACAGAACCAGAAGCGCTAGTACATGTGCAAATACTATTTTGGATACCAAGAAAGCTTCCTGATTTTTTAATATATATTTTCTTTATTAAAATAATAGTAAACTGGCATGCTGCAGAACAAGTGTCTTGACTTGACATCTTTATTTTCAAGAATGCTTCTAAGTTCCAAATGAGCCCCATCATACAGAAAAATGCTTATTATGTAACAGGATGCATCCTTGTGGAGCTAACATTCTCATAACCAGTTGCTTTGTATTGGTTCTATCACAAGGGCAGCTATTTTCTGAATGAAAACACCAACCCAAAATCCATTTTGAAGGAAAGTTTGCAAAATAATCCAAATGTTCTTATCAATTCAAAAAGTTTGGGACCTATTCATTAACAGGTCTTGAGATACTGATTAGAGAATGTCAGTTGGTCTTACCTGAACTGCATGTCTCGAAGGTGGCATGGGAGTAGTCTCAACTGGGTATTAACAAGGCTTTGCTTAATTCCTTGTGACATCCACATGGAAATAAATCTCTAACTGAATACTATTGTACACAGGTACAGGCAGTTGATGGAATAAATGAATTCTTATTTATTTTTCTGCAGGGAGAAATGAAAATTACTGCAACAATGAGGCAAGTAAATGCAGCTTAAAAAGGAAACACCAGTCCAATGCCTTGTCACAGATTCATTAGCCAGGGTCAGGATGAACAAATACTCACTATAGTTATTTCAATTTGTCATTTTTATTTCCTCAAAAGAAACTTCTACAGTTTCAGAAAATTTCAAATGTAAATCTTTATACACTAGTGAACAACATAAAAAAACAGGCAGATTTAATGTAGTTTATTCATCGGAGCCACCTGAAAAATTGGACATTTGGTTTCCCTACAAATTTAACTTAAATGTTCACCTTTCCCATTGCTCAGCTCTACTGATGGTATCACTTTTATGGGAGAACTCTGGTACATGTTAACTGAAAACAACATATACTGTATGATTAACATCTTCCTTTTATAAAGACCTTGCTGTGACTTCAATAATACAGGGAATCCATTCCACTTTATGGGTCTAACACCCCCAAATGAAGTATCTTGATTGGTTGACTTGCTTCTCATCCTTTTGTACCTCAAATAACTTCAGATTGTATAATGCAACAGACATGGGAGATATAGGGTTTAGACACAACTTGCCTGTCCTACTGTAGATTCCCTTCAGCATGCAAGAAATAAAAATTTCCACTAAGTGGTTTATATGTGGATGCTAGTCATGTAAAACTTCTGTGTACTATAACATCCTAGTCACCTACACAGATAGGAAGAATAATGATTATGTTCTACTGCAATTTTCTGGAAATAGAAAGTCAACATGGGATCTGCTTCAGGCAGATTCTAGTTTTGAAATATTTTTGGTTCCAGAGAAACAGGCTCTTATTTAGTCTCAATTCAGAAAGAAAAACCATGTCAATCTGTACAATTGGAAGCAAGGCCCATTGGTACTTTCTTCCCTGCTGTCCTATTCTTCCACATACAGTAGAGCAATCCCTCATCCATACTTCCAAGGAGCAGAACCTGTACCGTAATTCTTTTTAATGAGCTGTGCTCTGAACTTTGATAGAACCAAAGAAAAGAAGACTCTTAATATAAAGAAAACAAATGTATTGTTCTGAGGTAGAAATCTCAGTGCATTGAAATGCTAACCATAAGCACTGAATTTATACAGAGCAATTTCCTGCTTGCACAAAGAAAGTTGCCATTAAATGTTGTTTAACTACTGTACCACGTAACAAACCCCAACAGCAACTGTCCGTACAAAGGAGTGCTAATTTAGCACTAGAAAGTATACACTAAGGCTTACGTTATCCACATATATACTTCGAAATAAGTTCCACTGAATTGTTGGGACATTATTTCTGAGTAAATACGCATAGTAGCAAGTTATTAATCATTCAAGTAAACCAATTATGTCCCATCATCTTTCTATGCAGTCTTTTGAAAACCATTACGACGAGATGAAACTGCCGAAATTATAATATTTAGTTCATCAATCATACCAAATTAAGCTTTTTTTCATTCAGTAAAGCTAACAGGATACATTTAGGGCAGCTGAATGCTCTTGGATGGTTCTATAGCCTTTCTTACAATGAAGCTGAATATTAAGAATAAATTGCTACTGAGCTTTGAACTATCTTCTCTCTATGTTGCAGTCTGCTGTAGGCTGAGTGATCTTATTGTGCAATTAAGGTTAATCCTTCACTTTATTTTTGAATCAACTTCAATGCTGGTGATCCCCCCCTCCCCCTTAAAAAACACGTCCACATGCAGTAGTATGTTACAAGGTGATTTTTAATGCTAGTATAAAAGCATGAAGGGCACTTTCTATTGACAGCTATCTCTGTGCAAAGACTATGCAAGAATTGCTTATGGTGAACTGCTTCTAAAACATTCCTCCCTTTTGTAATATAACCTGCTGAACCCCTAATTCCAAGTGTGCCTGATTTCTCTGCAAACGACTTGGTTTTATGTTCTAAACTAGCACTGAATAATAGATGAAGCTTTAATACATTCAGCTAAACAAACTCTATTTTCACATGCCATGATTTACAGCTTCTTGGTGCTGCTTTAACAAAAACTGGCAATGCATTTCCAACCCTCCCGCCTCCTTTCCTTTTAAAAAGGAACAAAAATTAGTCTCTTTACAGACCAAGGAGTCAAAGGCAATTTGCATGCAGTCTCTGCTCAAAGACGGCACTTATCAAAAGTGGCATACAGAACTGAGCCTCTGCAATTGTTACGAGAACAAAACAAATTAATTCTTGCAAATCAATTTAGCAAGCTGAGCTGGTGGAAGAATATTGTTAATACAAGCCACCAAAGTCAAGTACTTTAAAATCCCATTTATTTCAACAGGAGAGCTTCACATATAGTTAATTTTCCTTCCATTGAAATTAGTAAGTCCAGCGCCATGAACATTTAAATTATTATCTCAAAAGTGCTTTTTCAAAAGGCAACTGAACTTGTGGTTTTTTTCCCTTGAAGAAGACATTTTGCTTATCTTCCAAGAAGCTTCATCAGTTCTAACTGGATGATGGGGGTGGGGATAGCAATAGCAGTTAGACTTATATACCGCTTCATAGGGCTTTCAGCCTTCTCTAAGCGGTTTACAGAGTCAGCATATCGCCCCCACAGTCTGGGTCCTCTGGGGATAGGAGTGGAAGGATCATATTTATTTTCAGTCATCCAGTCGTTAGCACTCTCTTTGAGAGCCACAGAGTCTCAGAGAGGGTGTGAAAGACCAGATGAGGGCAAAGAAATATGATCCTTCCATCCCCCCTCCTCCAAACCATCATCCTGTCAGAATTGATGAAGCTTCTTGGGTGAGAAGTGAAACTCATCTTCCTCAAGGAACAAAACATAGTCCAGTTGCCTTTTGAAAAAGCACCTTTGAGACAACCATGCCTGGATGACTGGGAATCTTCACAGACCTTTAAGTACTTACTAGAAAATAAGCCCTGCTGAATTCAAATTACATATATATATGGGGCTTATGAATCCACAGTTGGCTGATCTTTATGTTGCCTGTCAAGTGAATATTTTTTGCTACTAGTAATTATTGCTCAAAAACCAACCTGTAAGATAGAACAGAGGAAATATTTTCAGTTTTGTTTTATTATAACATCTGCAACTACAGCTTATTCATCCCAAAAAAGGCAAAGAAAAAAAATATTCCAAACCCTTTAAAAATGCCTACACTTTTTATTTTAAAAAATAAAAACTACCTAGTATACCATTACTGCTAACAGCACTTGAAAAAGGGTGCATTGTACAAGGACATCCTACTGTAACTTTCGTGGCTGCAAGACCTGTTCTTCTTCTTCCTCTTCTGCTGCTTTGGTCTTAGGTTTCAAAGAGTTTATTAAAGGCTGTTCCAATTTCTAAAACCATGTCAGAGGCTGTCATGGACCGTCCAAATTTCTGAAATGCTTGGTTGTTGCACTGCCTTGTAAGTGAACATGCTCCAAATGCAGCCACTAGAAAGGGATTTTGACTAAAACAGAAACAAGAATCACAATTAAATCTGAAATGAGCATCACTGTGCCCCACCCCCGAGTACAAACCCACCAACAAATCTTTACTAATCTTTTAATCTTTGCTCTTAGGCCAGTGCAAATAGGACAGTAAGAACATTGAAAAGAATAAGAATGATGGATCTCATTTGCCCACCAGATCAGAGTTAAAATATGCTAAATATCCCAGACATGTATGTCCAACTGTGGGCTAAAATGCAAGTAACAATAAAAAAACATCCAGAACCAGGTGAGGATTTCTCAAAGGGAAAAGGACTAAAATCGATACAGTAACATAAGAAAAAAGCAAGTATAAAATTAATGTATTTAACAGTTGTATTTTCAGTTCATGCCTGATGAAGTTTGCAAACAGTTGCACCAAACATTTCAATATTAGCCATGATGCTGGGTCTATCAGCCACTAATAGAAATTTATTCATTTGTTTAAATATCAAATTTAGAAATCTCCTATTTTCTTCACAGAGCGGCTCTGGACGGTGTAATTTGGACATGTGCTGAATTGTTCTATAAAGCAGGGGTGGTATTCACTTCCTTTCCAGTTCGCAAATGTGAGTGCATGCGCTTGGCCTTTCACACATGTGCTTTGATTGCGCGCAGCTTGCATACATGTGCGTGACTTGAAAATGTGCCTAACTAGGATGGCATAGAGCCGGGGTGGGCGGGCAGGCCCACCCGTGATTTCCACTACTGGTTCAGGTGAGCCGGTCCAAACCGGCTGAATACCACCTCTGCTATAAAGGTACCTTCAAAAGAAGCTGATCAGAATGCATGAACATGGCTTACCCATTTGTTTTTTCTGGTCCCGCAAGAAAGGCCCAGTGTGCTAGGACTCCTAGGGACCCAGAGAGGATGTCTCCTTGACCCCCACACCTCCTGCTGCTTCCTTCATGGCTACATACAAGCACTGTAACACAAAAAATGAAAGGAACTGAAAATACTCGATCCTTATTGAACAGAGCTGTAGGAGAATTGAAAAAAATGTAGATTTGAAATGGAGCAGGCATTATATCTTTACTTACAACGTTCATTTTTTAAAGTATGACCAGAACTGAATGTAACTAATTTGTTAACAGAAAACTGTGGTATTTTATAAGATTAATATTTAAACAGCTATATTTTTATTTTTGCATTATTGCATTAACTTCAAAGGTTTAAGATAAGAACATCTTTAGCAACAATTTTTATTTAATATTTTCATTATACATTTTCAAACAGCTCTGATGGCTAATCAGTCTATATGCTAAGATCATAAAAATATGGTGCTAATGTTGGAATAGTGACATTTTTGATGTAATACAATAGTCAACTTTTGACCAATGACTAGCAAAATAACCTGCTAGTACTTCCTTTAATTTTAGGATTAGGATTACTTTATTTATATGCCGCCCTTTTCCCTGGGGGGACTCAGGGCGGCTCACAATCCAATTTTGATATATTAGATGCATGCACCTGCATTTGGTTTTATTTTCCCATAGCATCTATCCATATAGTGGAAAAATGTTTACATTTATAAAATATTTGCTCTGTGTTTCTTTCGTATACCTTTTTCTCCATCTGAAATGAGGTCTCGTTCGCCTTTCTGAACAATTGTCAAATTCCCCAAGGCTTGGCTGAGCCTTAACAAACAGCCATGATAATCGTTGTTGTCTACAGGATCTCTAAGCTAGAGAAGAGCAAAGGGGGAAATCATACAGAATTAAGTGTAGCAAGTAATGAGGAAAAGGGTTAACTTTCATTCATATCATTTTAAAACTTTTATGTTATGAAATGTTAGCTACCTGCTCAACTAGTCTCCATCAGCCATACAGTAGATATTGCCATATTTGTAACAAGTCTGACTATGTCTCACTTGATTTGTTTACAAGCAATCTGCACTTATTTGTGCAAAAGTAAATGGAGATATATAAAAGAAGGGGTACAAAAAATCCACTCAAATCAAGTCCCAGACCTTGGAAGGGTTTGTTTTGGAAGATTTTAATTTATGGAACTTATGGAACAACGGCTGTAACCTCTTTCTATCTGTCTACCATAGAAAGTGTCCTCACATATTGCATTATAGTATGATATGCTAGTTTAATAGCCGCGGACAGAAAGGCACTACAGAGAGTGATCAATTCAGCACAAGAAACCATTGGTTGCCCTCTGATATCACTGGATGACATTGCCAGGTCTCGCTGCTTTAGCAGAGTAAGGAAGATACTCAGAGATGATTCACACCCTGGTCAGTGTCTCTTTGCATTTCTACCATTGGGCAGAAGACATCAAAGTATAGCCAGCACAACAAATAGGTCTAGAAATAGTTTCTATCCTTGGGCTGTCAGACTTTTAAATACAACCACAATCCATGCACACGCAGAAATGTATGACTAGTTTTTTTCTTTTTCTTTCTTTTTTCGTTTCCGCTATAATTTTGCACCAGTGAAGCTAAAACCAATTTCGGTGCATTTATTTTGTACAATGACAATAAAGACTATATTACTATGTAATCTTAAGAAATGAAAGTAGAATCTCCCCAGATAATAAGCCCTATCAGGCTTTTGAGCGCATGCACTGAAAATAAGCCCTCCCCTAAAATATTTAAACGCATGCGCAGCCGGTCCCCATTTCCTGGGGAGGAAGGGGGGAAACATGCTCCATGCATCCCTTATGAATCTGCCATCCATATGGAACGGCCTCGTGGAGGCCACTCCCACAAACCTTAGCTACCACATCCCTTCTCTTAGCGGCGGCCACAAAAAGAGCAGCAGGCCCAGAAACAGAGACAGAACTTCTGGTCCTCTCTGGATCAGCTGAACTGTGGGCGAGATTAAGGGGCCTCCTGCACCTCAAAAATAATAAGACCTCCCTGAAAATAAGGCCAAGCGTTTATTTTGGGGGTCAAAAGAAAATAAGACCCCGTCTTATTTTCTGGAAAACACGGTAGCATTTCTAAGATACAAGCAATGATTTTAAAACATAAAAGTCATTCTCAAACAAGAGACAGTTGCATTTGACCTTGATGAGATAATGCTAATCATCATGTAGGAAAGTATGAAGAAGTGCTAGAACAGGGGTGTCAAACTCAAATTGTCATGGTGGCGTCACATGATGTATTGTGACTTTTTCCCCCATCACTGAATTGGACTTGGGTGTGGCCAGTGCATGACACATCTGGACCGAGTGACAGCCCTGTGCTAGAAGATTGACCAAACTACTTGAAGATGGATAGTAACTTAGGTTTTTTTAATCCTATTGCACATAATGCATTGGGTGCATGGAGGAATCTTGTCTCAATTCTTCTCAAACTCAAACTTAACCTAGCCAGTTAGGTTTGTGATCTATTGCCTCTACAGTTAGTTCTCACTTACTGACTGCCTCATTCAGTTACTGTTCAGTTAAAATGCTGCTGAAAAAATAATTTTACAGCTAATGACCACATTTATGACTGAACAGTATCCCTCAGACTGTGATCACCACTATAGTCAGCACACATTGCCCTGTGCTTGACCTCGTTTTCCTTTTTTTCATAACACAGAGATTGGAGAGGAAAAGATTACAAGAGGATAAGGCGGCACACAATAAGGCATATATAGGCTGTTTGCGAACTGTGCTCGGGGCTGCTTGCACCACTGCATTCCTTTCAATGTGTATTCTCAACTGTGTGCCTGCCTACTCTCTTAATCCCTTCTTTTTCAATAAATTTAAATACAAACATTAATTCCCTTCTTGTTGATTATCCAATGTCCAGATGAATGTCCCAAAGGGCAGGGGAATGGGAAAAGGAATGTGAAAAAGGAAAGCACAGTTATGGACACACGATTTCCCACTTAGCGTCAGCTTTGCTTAACAAGAGATCTGCCCATCCCAATTATGGCCATTAAATGAGGACTACTTGTGTATCTATAGGGACTGTAGATATCTATAGGTAGACAAATAACTACAAATATAATATATATGGACTTTGTCAAAAGCTGCCTTTTCAATGTTCACTACATATGTGTTTATTAAATAAAGAAGCACTATATATATTGTATGCACTGATAATTGCTGATAATTGCATTATTGTACTGATAATGTACTGATGTATTGATAATTGCATTATTCTTTGGGTGTCATTACAGTATGGTGAACTCTTGATCCCTCACCTGGTTGACAGCCTAGTAATCTAGGTTTTAAAAGCCTAAATTGGGCTAAAATCACACCTATTTAATTAATTATTGAAGTTCTACATTAGTAATATTAAATGTAATTTGGATTTGGGGTACCTTCCCTCATGGAACTATAATTAAGAACTGTATGGACTCACCATTGCCTCATAGAGTCTGCTAAATTCCATAGCATTTGGAGTAAGAATAGCTCGAGGATAACCCTGAATAAGAGAAGGCTGTTGGGCAATGAGCCATAAACCATCCTGCATGGGACAATAAGAGGAAACATTTAATGACAGGTACAAAATTGTTTAACCAAATCAATATGATTATCATACTTACAGCATCAATTACAATAGGAATTCCTTTGACCTTGGATTTTTCTATAATGCCCTATTTGTGAAAAAAAATTAAAACTTTTAAATCAAACATAACATTCATGCTTTCCCAACTAACGTTAGTGTAACAAGAAAAATATATTCGAAATAGATACTTAACACCATAGCATGCACGTGAGTATACAGGCAGAGAGAGTATAAATTTCATGCTTATTTTATAGAAACCATTAACTATGAATTGTTCCCCAGAAATTAGCCAGTGCCTGGGTTTCAAACATGTGCATGCTTGTAGAAGCCACAAATAAATACAGGTTGTTTTAACAATTTCTTTTTCAATTATTCTGCTTTTACAACTTGCAAGTTATGCAACTTTGGTTACATTTCCAAAATAGCATAAAATATTAGAAATAAATAGTAATCAAGCTGACACTCTCTTTTAAAAAATAATAATAACAGTAGCCAGACAATGTACCAGTAATACCTTAAGAAATCCAAGTTACCTTGGCATGTTCAAGTAATAAATCATCTCTTCCCAAACCTGGTCCAATGACAACTGAGTGAAGTCGTGGTAACCAGTTTTCTACCTCACGCACAGCATCAGGGCTGTCACTAAAAAGTAACAGCAAACAGTGCAAATTAAAAAACCAGTCTTCCAGTTTACCACTATACCTTTTTTCTTCCTATGCATCTACTAGTAGCATATCCAGAATTTTTTCCCCTGAGAATACAGATTATCACATTCATATGATTAAAAATGTTAATATCCAGTACTTTTGAAAAACAATTGGGATATCAATTTATTCCTATGGAGGAAGCATGATGCACTGCAATAGAATAAGAGAGGTGGGGATGGGGAATACATTCTGCATCTCATAAGAGCCGCTCCCAATATTACACTTATATTCTAGTTAACAGTATTGATTTTCGCATGAAAACTGAACCCTTCACAGTACATTTCACAATTTAAAGTGCTGGTTATTATCTATCAAGTCCTTCAAAACAGAGGATCTGGTTATCTGAGTGACAATTTGTCTTTCTTAGTTTGTACCCATCCCGTACAATTAACCTCCAAGTTCATTTAATATTTACAATGTAAGCCACATACATTTAAAAGGTAAAGGTTCCCCTTGCATATATGTGCTAGTTGTTACTGACTCTAGGGGGTGGTGCTCAAACCGAAGAGCCAGTGCTGTCCAAAGATTTTCCGTTGTCATGTGGCTGGCATGACTAAACACCAAAGGTGCATGGAACGCTGTTACCTTCCCACCAAAGTCGTCTCTACTTTTCTAATTGCATTTTTGCATGCTTTCGAACTGCTAAGTTGGCAGAAGCTGGGACAAATAATGGGAGCTCACTCCATTACGCAGCCCTAGGGATTCAAACCGCCGAACTGCTGACCTTTCTGATCGACAAGCTCAGTGTCTTAGCGACTGCTTTGCTAAATCCCACATGCATTTAGCTATGCTTAATTTTTGAAATTTTCAGGCATTGCTGAAAATTTTTTACAGCACTATTTGTTAAAGCATTATATTTTGCTTTAACAAATAGGGGTGGGGGTGTGTGTGATTTATAGCTTGAATTCAGCCTGAACAAAAATCCAAGTAGTGCTGGGTTTTTATATTGAGTTATCACCGTTTGTGGGAGAAGAGAGTTACCCTGTTTTGGGTACCCTTTTTCAAGGTTTAACAGAGTTTCTCAAATTTAGAAACTTTAAGATGTGTGGCCCAAGTCCTATAATTCCCCAACCAACCAGTGCTAACTGGGCCATTCTGGGAGTTGCTCTATACCAGTGTTGAGATTCAAAAGTTTTTACTACCAGTTTTGTGGGCATAGCTTTATGGGCATCGCGTAAAAATCTCCATTTCCTCCCGATCAGCTGGGACTCGGGAAGCAGAGAATAGATGGGGGCAGGACCAGTCAGAGGTGGTATTTACTGAAGTACTTCTCCGAAGTACTCAAAATTTCCGCTACCAGTTCTCCAGAACTGGTTAGAACCTGCTTAATACCACCTCTGATCTATACATTTTAAATTGTCAAGTTTGAGGACACTATTTTAAGTGACTTCAGAGAGCAACCTCTAGTTTCTGAAGCAATAAAACGTCTACATGCCTTTAAGAAACTGCGTGAAAGGGAAAAAAAGATATCTCAATATAATTTTCTGAAATGATCCTAATTTCAGCAAGATAAAACTGTTGTTAAAAATGAAGGCATGCATGTGACACATAAAGAACACTTGCATAAATAATTTTGAATATAACTCTATTAATTCTAGGCACAAAGATTTCATCTCACCAACCTGAAGGTCTTTAGACAGATGCAAAAGACAATTGTCTGATATGATGATATGAACATGTCACTAAAAAATATGAGTTGGAATTAACTTTTTTCAGTTAAGACCCTGAGTTATATAGCAGCTGGCTAAGTACGTACTTTTTCACATCCAAAGAAAGACAGAATACTTACAGAACTGGGTGAACTATAAGCTCTGGACTGTAAGATTTTATTACAGTTGCTGCATCTTTGGTACAAAATACGTGTGATAGGTCTGCCCCCTAAAAAAATAAACATATTTGCAATCATTAATAACATTTAACATTTCTGAAAATTACATTTTTTCTCTCTTGATTTCATGCTGAAATTCAATATTCTCAAGTTTCTCTTTCCTTTCTATTTCCCAATCTTAAATAAAAGAAGTAAATCTCACTAATTTTAATTTAAAAAAAAACTCTATTCCAGATTAGAAATAAACATACTTTCTATATTTAAAAGCCAATGTCTAAAACTCCTTTACTTTATTAATAATAAAAGAATATATTGAAGTTAGGTGTGAATATAGAAGGGCAGTTTCTCTCTAGGAAGTTTGCAATGCAGCCAATAGAAAATGAAATACACTCCTGAACAAACTTGTTATAAATACAGGTGGTCCTAGACTTATGACAACAACTGAGCCCCAAATTTTTGTTGTTAAGTAAATTTTGCCCCATTCTCGCTACAGTTGTTAACTGAATTACGGCAGTTGTTAAATAAATCTGGTTTTGCTTGTGAAAAGGTTGAAAAAGTTGATCACGTGGCCCACGTGGTCCAGAACATCACAAATATCATAAATATGAGTCAGTTGCCAAATGTCTGAATTTTTACCATGCGACAATGGTATGCTGCAATGGTTAGAACTGTGAAAAAAACCAGTCATAAGTCACTCTTTTCAGTGCCATTGTAATTTTTGAATGGTCACTAAATGAACTAAACTGAACTGAATCAAGCATCCAATTATAGTCCAACTGTATGGTCCAATTATATGACTCTTCTGATTTAATTGATAACTAAATCCAATACTTATCCCTCTCCTATGCATGGTGTTTTATGTAAATGTCAAAAGCTTTCTTCTTCTTCTTGGCATAATGCTCCTGGACCACTTGCCAAATTTATGAAGTAACCAGTCAGGGCCAGAACTTCACCAAGTAATCAAATGTGAAACCCAATAGGTTAGAATACTGAGTTCATCTTGAATAAATCAAATCCTCCAATCCAGCAAGAAATTCAAGCTTCATTCATGATTAATGAGCAACTTTAGTCATTACTATTTCCAAAATTTCCAATAGCATTGTACACACTATGTAACCAACATCTACATCTGATGATCCAAATGGATATTAAAATTTATAGATGCAATGAACTACATAAAAAGGTAAAGGTTCCCCTCGCACGTATGTGCTAGTGGTTCCTGATTCTAGGGCATGGTGCTCATCTCCGTTTCATAGCCAAAGAGCCAGCAATGTACAAAGATGTCTCCATGGTTCTGTGGCTGGCATAACTAAACGCTGAAGGTGCATGGAACACCTTCCCACCAAAGTGGTCCCTATTTTTCTACCTGCATTTTTATATGCTTTTGAACTACTAGGTTGGCAGAAGCTGGGACAAGTAATGGGAGCTACCTCTGTTATGTGGCGCTAAGAATTCAGACTGCAAACCTTTTTGATCGACAAGCTCAACGTCTTAACCACTGAGATACTGCATCCCTAATGACCTACATAGTTACTATCAACACACTGAAATCTCAGTTTGCTGAATAAATTAGACATTTAACCAATACAAAACTATCATTTTTGTCTATTATTGGGAACAGAGTTCAGCATGCTTTTTAAATAGTTCAACTATGTGTTTAACTCTATGGAATAAAGAACATTATCTTTAATTGTACTCCATGCAAATGGTCAGAAGAAACATACCACTTTGAGAGCAGAAATTGCAGCAAAATATGGTGCTCCTGTATACCTGCATATTAAAAAAAACACACCAGAAAATATATACTTCATTAAAATGTGATGATGAACTTGTACCACAATGTGTTCATGTGATATATGAAAGTAGAAACATCACATCACTTTAATCAATATATTTCTACTGATATTTTCTTGACCTAATACTTTTGCCAACTATAGTAAATCTAACCTTGCACTGCCTTTTCACCCTATTAACATTGTACAATATGCAGTCATTTTAACATAAATTATTTATATTCACTTTTGAACATCAAATGTAGAATGCGATAAGAACACCCTAAATTACTGATTATTATATATTTTTAGTGAATATACACACAAGATAGAATCTAATTAATAAAAGTTCATGAACCATACAATTTTAAACTAAATTTTTAGTAAATTTTAATATTTCGTAATACTTTCCCTTTGTTTGTGCTATCATAATACATACCTCAAAAACATTTCTGCATTTTCTTAACAATATTGCTTTTTATGAGATACTAATTTACATAATACATTTCAGAATTGCAGTCAGATGATGACTCTTAAAGATCCAAACAGAACTCTTATGAAGCTTTCACTTATTTAATTGGCTAATATTGTATTAATTATAGATAGGATACACATTTATCACTCTATTTTGTGTTCCAATATTTCTTTTAATCAACTTCGTGAAAATCATCACTTACACAGACTAAAAAGGGCCATTATTAAAATTATCACTCTAATTTTCTAGTGATTAAAAATGGAGTCATATTCCAACAGTGAAAAAATATGGAAGCGATAAGACCAATGTATTTTTTCCTTTCTGTCATTTTCTACAGACTAAAATGTAACATTTAATTAAAGCAATAACCTTTCTAGTTAGACTCAAGCTACATTTGCAACATATTGCTTGACAGTAATATCTACTGTATATTTGGGACATACAAAAGAAAGGCGCCCTTCATATACTTCTAAATCAGTGGTAGTCAACCTGGTCCCTACCGCCCATTAGTGGGCGTTCCAGCTTTCAAGGTGGGCGGTAACTCTGCTTTATAAATTTTATAAAGTAAAGTCACTTCCCTACTTTATAAATCACCATTACTGTGGAACCGGTGGGCAGTTAGAAAATTTTACTACTGAGATACAAAAGTGGATGGTAGGTATAAAAAGGTTGACTACCCCTGCTCTAAATGATAAAGCATGAATTCGCTATGATACCTTAACTGAACATTAACATCATGGCTATGCCACACAGGTGTGTAATAGCAATATTTGTTGTTTTATTTGAAGACTACTTCCATGCAAGAAAAAAACCTGTAAAATTGAAAAATAATTAATTTTCTGTGGAAATGGCACAAATAACTAAGAAGGGTAAAATGATTGATATTAAAATGATACAAGTAAAAAACAAAGATAAACACTAATGTCTGAGATAGAATTTGTACATTTTTATTTAACTTACTCTTGGCATCCTCCAACAATTCCTATTCTTCCATCTTGGCCTTTGTGTTTTTTGGCAGTTAAAGGTGGAATAACATTTCGCACCAATTGAAATATATTTTCCATCTCCTTTATGGAATGTGTTTTGTGAACTGAAAAAGATCTCTCTATAACTGAAAAAATAAGGACATTTAAATAAATATTACAAATATAAACTTTTAAGATTAGTATGTTAAAAGTATGTATTCACATATCAGAATTTGTTTCTAAAGAAATTGCCGTGCTGAAGTATTTGTATTATAAACATATTTTTACAAACCAAATTCCACATAAACTGATTCACAAACAACAATGTACAATGCATGTTTTGTTTATCAGCCTGAATAAACCACACTTATTCCCCACTCCCCAAAACAAATAAAATCACCAATCTTCTAACAGATACAAAAACATTTCTAGTTGGCAAATCAATTGTTTGTCTTCCACATCTAGGCTTCAGTTTCCCAATTCTTTACTTGGGTCTGGTCACACATACTTGGAAGCACAACAAATCTCTTAAGAAAAGACATATATTTTATCCTGAGAGATCTCACTGACTATGAAACAGAGGTGTGCAAAATGTACTGCATACTCTAAACATATTGATCTAAGTATTCCATGTTGAACAATCAAGTTCCCGCTTGTTTTTTTTCAACTTGTCTATTAATGATTTCCAAGATGTAGTATGCAGTATATTGGGAGGAAATGCTAATGAGAAAAAAAATGGAGTTGTCTTAACTGTAACCTAAACATTCTCTTATAAGGAGCTCCAGGCAGCTGATTTTACATAAATCAATTTATGAAGCCAAATTTTACTTGTTGCATGCCAACTACCTGAAATAACACTGTCGCTCCGAAGAACCCAGACTAACCAGATGTACAATATGTATTGACTTTTATCTTATGCATGAGACTGCAAAGAGAAAATGATACAACTGACTAAAAACATTCCTTAAGAGATAAATGCTAATTCAATAGTTAGGCTCACAAATCACGTTAACTTTTCTTGTACTGAATAAGTAATGATGGTGTGGTTCACATGTGAATCGGTGAAGTGAGCTGGGTTGAGAGAACAACTGGCCCAAAGTCATCCAACTGGCTTTTATGCCTAAGGCAAGACTAGAAACCTAGTTTCCAGACCGCTATCTTAATCACTACACCAAACTAGTATTTTACATTGTACTTGTACGATGAAGCTTACTAACCAATCATAAGGCATTCTACAAGTTCAGAATGAAACTGAACCTTAATGGAGGGAAAGAGATGTTTCCATGTAGACATTTCAGGACCCAGCTAGATAACATCATCAGTGCAAATAAGTGTGGGGTTTGCTCCCTCTTCACCCCACCAAAACTGGCAGGGCAACTGACTATATATAAACAGTGAATAAAGCCCATATTAACTCACAATGATGATGCTACCTAATATCAAGGTACTGAAACATCTGCAAGCAAACAAACAAAATCAGAGAACAACAAAAGCTCCACAATTAATGCAGGCTCAAAATTGATTTATATCAAATACACAGAGCTGGATTCAGTTGCAGTTACCTCTAGTCCTGAAGAACATCGGCACAGTGAGCTATGAGAGTTGTTCTAAAACCAGTTTTCAAATTCTGTTCCATAGCAGGTTGCAATAAGATGGTAAGTAACTTGTGCACTGCCAAAAATCTTCTAGACCTCTATGGGTGGAAATATTAAGCATATCCTAACATGCACAATTTCCAAGGGTAACAACTAAATACAATAGGATTTGCAAGCATCCTTTTCACGTTTCCTCCATTCAATCTCCAGCAAACCCTGTGATATGCAAGGTCCCACAGGGAATGTGCTTGGGGAAGGGGGGATTCCTGACACTGCAAGCTACAAATTTCATATTCCCCTACTTAAAACTTTGTTCACTGTATTACCGTGCAACTATGCAAAACTTATTGTGCATGAAAGCAGCTTTTGGAGCATCGTAACAGCTGCTTTATCATGTAAATTTAGTAACCAGGAAGTGCTTTCAGAATTACCTAAATAACTGTGCAATTCTTCCAGCACTAACAACTACGTATGGCTGGAAGAGCATCAAATTTGCCAAGGCAAATTCTGACAATCAGTGCTAATCGTTTATATGAAACAATTAATCTGAAAGATTTTAATGCTTAATGAAGTCACAAAGCCCTCAAATGAAGAACAGGATATTTGGGGGAGGCAGAACTGAGGAAGTTAAGTGAAAGAAATGTCCTATTGGTTGCTATTGCCAGGTGTTGCTATTTATGAACAAGAAACATTCTTCTCCCATCTAATACTGGGAAGGGTTCTGTCTGCTATAAGCCATGATTTTTTAAGTTTTAAACAAGTCACTTTTTAATAGGTCACTGTATTCTGCAATTACTTATACCCGTGATGGCAAACCTATGGCACACAAATGCCAGAGGTGGCACGCAGAGAGCCCTCTCTGTGGGCATGCACACTGTTGCCATCTGGTCTTCTGGTTTCCAGCATGCACAGGCGCACTGGCCAGATGATCATGCGTGCTGCAGCTCAGGAAATCTGAAGACCAGCTGGCTGATGCGACATACCAGCTGGCCTTTGAGTTTCCAGGGCGCACATGCACATTCCAGTTTGGGCACTCAGTGCCAAAATGGTTCGTCATCACTGACTTATACAGTATGCTTATAGTTTTTAAGTAGTCAATTTTGATTCTAATAAAGATATGTCAAATTATTTTAAATATTTAATTCCAGAAATTTACGAGCACCTACATGGATTTTACTATCAGCATATAGAATTTCATTTTAAACATCTAAAATTATAACTTACTGTTTTACATCTTTAAAAATGCTGAACTATGTGAGCTGCACATTACAATGATGTATTCCAAAGCAATGCTCAAGAAAAGCATAACTTTGAATAAACTCCGTGTCTACAGAAACATTTTTATTCTCTGAGCATGATTCATTTTTTAAAGAAACCTTATACCAAGTATAATTTCTCTGATTTTTAGAAAGATGCACAATTATGTGCACAAAACTTAATTAGTACTGTAGATCCATGTATCATGAATGCAAGAGAATGAAGTACCTATGGGTGGAGATAATGTTGTTGTCATAGAATTATAGTTAAAATTTTCTCCATACGATCGGTGATTTGATCTTTGCGAAGGATTACTTGGTACAAACTGGGATCTTTGTGATACTGTGGAAGAGATTCCTGCTAACATCTGTCCCAACATCTGCAACATCTGAAGCTCCCTGGCATGCTCTGCTTCACGTCGTTTGTCTTCAATTTTAAGCCGTTGTTCTTCATATTTATAAAACTTCTCTTCAGTATCCATACTTTGTTGCAAAAACTTTTCCATCATTTTGTCCAGTGTTAAATTTGCATGTCGCTTTTTTGATCTTTTAGCCTGAGATAATAATGGTGTTTCATTGGTGTGAGCATTAATTTGTTTAAAACCTAAAAACAAAAGCAAGGTAATTTTAATAAAGAATCGAAGTAATAAAAAGTGTCCCTAAAATTTACAACACAACTCTAACAGCACTTCCACTGCAAATAATTACCACCAGTTTATTTTCTGCTTTTAGAGATATATTACGAATGTAACTATACATTTTGTCTTTGATATAACTTCTGTGTAAAAAAACGTGTGAACTATCAGACTTAAATCTGTCAATTTATGAAGCCAGAATTAGGTAAAATAAAAAACACCGAGTAGAACACCACTGTTGCTTTGTATGAATAATTTTCTAAAAATGTTTGCAGAAAAGAGCATTAATAAATATACAATACTGTTCCTTTTACACAGAATTTGTCTAAAAGAACTATCAAAAATTAACCTGAGGGGTAAATGGGTATTAAAACTGAGGATAAAGAATATGCTTTTATATTGGGGATTTTCCATCCTCCAATAAAAGAAATGGATCAAAGGTTCACTGGGATCCCAAGACATGTCAGATTTCTTCATGGATAATGAATGTGACAGTGACCTCAGGAATATGAAATGTATTGTTTAGAGAATTCAAGACAGATATTTCCAAGGTGTTACATCATTTTTTGACTCCCTGCTATTGCTGGGTAACATTTTAATATGCAGTTGGCTTATACAGGGCAAGGATTCTTTCTGGTTAAGTTAAATGAAGCACTTATATGGTTAATAGGGATTCATTTTAAAATGAAGTGCAGTTATTATAAAAATGAAATTTACTAACATTTACTAATGTTAACCAGCCTCTGTGTAGGAGGTTAATTAAAACCTTTTCAGTGAAAAGAAAAGGGATTATCTGAATGATTCATGTTCTAAGTTGTGTGATTAGATAAGGCTCCTTATCTTCTTCTAGATTTCTTCAACATATTGCACCATATCTACTACCTCTCTCAATGTGATAAGCGGGGGCAGAAATCCAACTCATTTGGGAATGACAGCTTTGAAATGCTAATTTAATCAAGGACTTGAGAGAAAGGTGACAAGAGTTGTGCTCAGCCTTTTTCTTAAGGTCTCTGATAGACAAAGGTGAGACTCAGAATATAACAGAGAAAATATGTTTATGGAGTGCAGTCTTTGGCATATTTCACTTTTAAGGCAACCTCACAGAGCACAACAGAGGTTTCTGTAATCCCTGGCAACTTTTAAGATTTGTGGGTTTTAACTGTCCGAATTCCCAGCCAGCATTAACTTCACCCTCTTAAAGTTGCAAAGTTTGAGAAACATTGCTCTCAATGGAAAGCCATAATGACCTATATATGCCCATCTATAAATAACCAGTGGTGGGATTCAGCCAGTTCGCATCACTTCGGGAGAACCGGTTGTTAACTTTCCGAGCAGTTTGGTGAACTGTTGGAAGAAATCATTAGGGCAGAGAACCAGTTGTTAAATTACTTGAATCCCACCACTGTATATAACTATATACTATATATATACAGTATATAGATACGTATGTATGTAAACCCACACCACAATCCATAAATGTCCATGTTTCGGGTCAAGCAGCAAAAGATTGCAGCCTCACAGTCTGCAAACACAAGAGTGAGGTGCAAGACCTTAACTAAGGTAGGGGAAACATCTCACCCACAACCAACTACCAGCTGGAAATATAAGAGACATAAGAATACAAAGTCAAAGATCCTTCCCCTTCCCCTTCCTTTTTTTAAGCGTAGTAACTCACTTTCGGCAGGTGGTATCGGGATGGCGAAGGGGGGGCATTCCACTTTGATGGCGTGGTCGGCGTAAGAAGAGCACTCGCCCGAGTCGTCCTGGAAGTTGTCCGGCGGGGAAGACTCCAGCTCGCCACCATCCTCATCTTCCTCCTTGTCTTCGTCGTCGTCTTCGTCGTCCTGCTCCTCCGGGTCCGCCTGGCGGCTGTTGCGGAAGCCGCTCTGTCTGGCGGAAGGGGGCGCGGCGAGCACCATGGCGGGCTGGAGGTGGCTTTCGTCTCCGACCGCCGCCGTCGCCGCCACCACCATCACCCCCGCGGGGGTCAGAGGCCGCTCGGCCACCCCGTGCCCATCCAGGCCGTGCCCGCCTTGCCTGCAGCTGAGAATGCGGTCCATCTCTTCGTAGTATTTGCAGATCTTGCGGGCGTGACCGTTCTTCTTGAGCCCTTCGCGGGCCTGGTAGTACTGGCGCTTGAGGCCCTTGATGCGGATGCGGCACTGCTCCGGGGTGCGTTCAAAGCCCAGCTCGGCCAAGCGGCAGGCCACGTCCCGGTACACATGGCTGTTGCGAAAGTTGCCGTCCAGCGCGCTCTGCACGTCCGCCTCCCCCCAGATCTCCAGCAGCGCCCGCGTCTCCAGGTCCGACCAAAGGAAGCCCCGCGTGTTCGTGATCATCCTCCTGCCCACCCAGCCGGGGGCCGCAATGGCCGCGCCCGCCCGGGCAGGGAGGCGAGGAGCGCGGCCGGCCGGCAGAGAAACGGGCGGGGGAGTGGGAGGGGGCGGCGGGGACCGCGAGCGAGAGGGGGGGATCAACGCCCACCGCGCCGCCCGGCCACTCCACCCTCTGCGCGGCTTGCCGGCGGCGGCAGAGACCCCGGCGTTGCGCCGGGCCCCCTCCTCATCCCTTCGCGGCCGCCCCCGCCCCCGCCCGCTCGGCCCCGAGCAAAACTTTCCCCACGCCGCCGGGCTGCTGCCGGACCCCGCCGTCGCGGCTTCGGTTGGAGGCGGCTGGCGCAGGCCTGGCCTTTCAGCCGCCGATGCGGTGGCCGCTCCCTCGCCTCGGGCTGCGGGAGCACGGGAGCAGCGGCGGTGGCGGCGCTTGGAGGGCCGATTGCCGGTTCATCGCCTCACTTGCCCGGCGGCTTAGGGGATGACCCGGTGGCGGTGTGAGGTCGGCGCCGAAGAGAAGCTCTGAGCCGGCCTCCTCCTCCCCCGCTCAGGAGGGCCCAAGCCAGCCCGGCGTCACCGCGCATTGCACTCGGTCCCCCTCCCCTCCGTGCGCGCACACCAGTCAGTCACCAAGTTCACGCACAAAGCGGCGGAGTCTCGGGGGTCACAACTTCAACCGCGGAGACGGAGCGGGCGAAGACAATGCGCCTCGCGCGAGGCCTCGCCCCCCTAACACTCCTCCATCCCCAAAACAAGGATGGCTCCCTCGGGGTCCGGTTCCGACCGACGGATCTAAACCCTACGGCGGTAAGGAAGAAAATGGAATTTGGGACCCAGATCCACCAAGAATCCCGCAGGAGTCCTTAAACCCTGCCTCCCTCGACCAGACTGCCTTTCTGCAAATAAAGGGGGCGTGCAACGTGTGGCTACAGAATAAAAGGGGGGGGGGTTACAGATACTCCACTAACGTGCTCCAAACAAGGTCGATCCGCTCCAAAAGAAAACACGCCATTTAGATCCGCGGTAGTTTTCCGAATAAAAGCTGGTTTTCAACCAAAGTCCAAATGATTGTGTTATTTTTGCGGGCTTTTTTCATCAGGACCGCTTATAAAGAACAACACACCATAGAAATACCGTTTCCTTTAAAAAATACTGGATAGAATTGCTTAAAGCCTTAAACCGCAGTTCAGTGAACAAATCACCACTGAAGTCATGCATATACGCCAAACCCTAAATTGTGTTTTGCAAAGCACGTCGGCTGAGACCGCAGAAGGCACTACAACCAAAGGCAAACAATACATATTTTGGTTCCCAGGGTTATGCAACCCGAACGATGGATCTCAGGCGAATTTGCCACGCCTCCGCCGAAAGCAGTTAGAGAGATGGTCCATCTGGCTTCTCTCACCATTCTACTTGCGCATAAATTATTCGGGATAAGCGGCGCTAGAAAACATCTCAAGCATCTAAAATGTGGGTCTGCATTTGAAAAGCCAATTCACTGTCGGCGAAATGACATATGGCACAATGTTCATTTCAGCAAATCCGGGCACAGGTACTAAAAAAACAAAACAAACTACGCCTAACGTAAAACCAAGATAAATTTAATCCCATTGCTACCGAGTGGCCCTTTCATGACCTCGAAACAAATCGATCGGTTTTTACTTTGTAGCTTCAAGTTTTCATTTCAAGTGTAACTAAGGCTAAGAACTTTTTTTTTTGCCGTAAAAATTTCTCCGCGATTTTGCAGAGGAAAGATTGTGGGGTGGCCTTCATCCCTTAATGGGGACATTTGCTTTTTTTTTTTTTTAAACTCTGCCTTTAAATAATGCCCAAATGGATCCACTTCTCACCGAATCGGTGCGCTCCGCTGTAAAACTCCACGCACGGTCTACATACCGCTGAGTAATCATCACTGAACTCAATGGCGCTTACTTCTGAGTAAACACGAGGTGTCAAAGCAAGTTTCTTCCTCACATACACAGACCGCCTCCCATTCTTTTAAGGGTGCTCTATAAAGCAAAGGAGGGGAGATGTAGACAGTTCGAGAATGCAAGCTGTCCCAGACAACCTCGTACAACATGATTCCAGGTGATTAATTGGAAACGGGCAATGTTTTTGGCGTGCTATGCATCCATTGCTTGCAGCAGCCGACGCGTAAAAGGTACGCGTTACGCAGGTGAGATAAACACTCCAAAGACGCTTCGTACCTTTTCCATATTGCAGCCAGAATAGAATC